ATGACAAGAATGATTGGGATAAGATTGATCTTGTAGGCTTAGTTGGTAACCCCATTTGACTTTTGTCAGGGCCAAGGGTGTTCTGATGAATAATGAAGAGGGGAGGTAGTGACGTTGAAACTGGGGTATGAAATTTTCTTGTTCAGGTATGTATATTTTCTTAGGAAGAATGGTTTGAGTGGTCGGTTAAGCGTTGGTAGTTGATTGTATTGTGGATGGTTTTGAGGAAATGGCTGGGTGTTGAGCATTCTGGGTTTTATGCTTATTTTGTTTTAAGGATTTGTCGACATAGCATTACCGTATGGAAATTCTTCTTTAGTGGTAAATAGTGATCGTTGTGGGGAGTATCGAGATTAATGGTTATTCTCTTATTTTGACGGCGTTATCTTAAGGGTGTAGGGAGAAGAATTGCTTCGTAGTGGCTTGATGGTCTGGTGGGACGATGGGTTTGAACTGGTGTTTAGAATAAATGACAGTGAATGTGTAGTGGCGTAATGTATAGTACTGATGAACATAATGGTTTAAGGTATGATCCGAGGGTGGATTAGAGATTGTGAGTTGTTTGTTGTGTGTTGTCAGGTAGGTGATGGGATTATGCCCTAGTTGAGGCGATTGTGGATGGCTTAGTCTTTAGAGCCAGTGAGAGCGGTGTTGCCATATAAGCATCTTTTTCTTTGGAAGGTCAATAGGTTGCTGTGACTGAGGTCATTGGTCTTGTGTGTATGGTGTTCGAGGGAGTGTCGCCTTGAAAGGTAAGGGTGGAATGGGTAATCTAATGTCATCATTTAGCATTGAGGTTGTCATTTAGAAGTGACGAGGTTTTTGATAGAATAGGACGTGGTGTCCAAAGGGTTGTGATCATTTTAGTGTTAGTATGTTGTGGGCATTAACGTCTTATATGATGGGTGTGTTGTGAGTTGTATCTTAATACTCGACGAATAAGTAGTATGGATTTAATTGGTTTTGGTTAGCATAGGTATCGCGGTGTATCGAATGCGAGGTTTCTGTGTTGATAGTGTACGACGGTTTGTTGGTGCCGAGGTTACCTAGAATTGAAGTCGTAGTCCCGTATGTGTTTCCAGTTGGTTCTTCTCTTTATGTGTGGAGAGTCAGTTCATCTCGATTGAGATTGGGTGTCCATAATTGGACGATTAGTGTGTAATGAGTGATAGGGTATCGGGTGCATTCAGGTGCGAGTTGTCAGTCTCTTATGAGAGCGGGATTCGTTACCCTTTCCATTTATTCTAGTCCTAGCAAGGATATCGTTCGTTGTGAGTCTTGTTCTCCATTTAGGAGTTGTGCGTGGCCGTGGGTGGACGGACCTGTGTATGTGGTTTGTTATATTGTTAGAGATCATCGGTAAAGGTTTGGTTGATTTGGTCGACTCACTTCCACGAAGGGAGATAAAGTTATTGGTTCTTAGTGGTGCTCGTTTTGAGAGTGGTTTTGACGGCACGAGTTGCCGAATAGGGATTGTGCTTTTATTGTTTGGTGTTATTGGTAATGGCTAGGGGATGTGTCGTGAACAGCAGTTTGAGGTTGATTAGGTGATGTGATGTGAGTCATGTACTCGGGTGTTTTTATTGATGTTTGATTTGAGCAGTGTCTTGGGGACAAGTGTTAGTATTGTTTAAATGATATGAAGCCAGATAGTGAATACATGATTCCATTGAGGAATAATAGAAGTGATTGACTTTGGTTTTGAGGTTTCAGGCATGAGATGGTCGTATTGTGTGTTTTGAAAAGGTAAGAATTGAATCGAAGGATGTTATGGAGTCGTTTACCTGGTATGTGTGCTATAAAATCATTAGAGAGCTTTTATGCTGATCGATGATTGTGACGTTTGGTGCTGTGTTATTTTTAGCTTGTTAGGGGATTGTGTGACTAAAGTATGATTGGGATTCTTAGAGTAGGTATGTGACTATATAATCGTTGTGGTTATGTGAGCGATGGATTGATAGTGAATGAATCTTATGGTTGTTTTGTGGACTGTGTGTGACTATGTTTGAGGTTTAGACCTGAGGACAGGAACGACGTCTGTGCTGAGATCGGATCGAGGATGAGGATGGCCTGGCTAACCATTTCTCTTGAATCAATCCCTCTTTAGCGCGATGTCGGATCAAAGGTCAATGATTGTTTTGACTTGTCAAGATAGCAAGAGCATGGTACTGTGCGTCGTGTCAGTGTGATAGTGTAGATTCAAATGGTTTGTCTCGGGTGACGAGGTGTGTTTGGTAAGACCATGTGTCCGATAAAGGGTTTACGGTACGATCATTGATTATTGAAATTCTTGTTATGGTTTTTCTTACTGGCACTTTCCATCTCAGCAACTTCCAGTTTCAGGTACTAAAGAAGAACGTTGATTGCTAGTTTCGGGCTTAGGTGGATCAGTTGGTGTTGCGAGATTTAATTTATTTATTTGGAGAATTTTGTATATATTTGAGGAAATTGATCTTGTATAAAAGAGGGCATTTTTCTTATGATAATGGGTTTATAGTGATATATTTGTATTTGAATGAATTAAGAATTATATTAGCCTGTACCCAGCTGGAAGTGTGAGTGTAGTGATGATATAGATGGGTGTGAGTGGGCGAGTGTGTATTACTGGTTAGCTACCACTCGTAGCATGGTGTGTGTGGGCAGATGACGTTCACTAGCAGCTACTGGGATGATTAGTTAGTGTGATTGGGTAGGTAGCCCAGGTTTGTTATTGTTTTTTTTGTTTGTGGGCGGGTGACGCATCGATTAGCTACCACAACGGTTACGGAGTGTGTGGGCGGGTGATTAGCACTAGCAGCTACCACAACGTCCTACATATCAAGGTATCTCACATCGCTTGGGGTAAGGATTTATGGATTTTGTTTTGTGGTTATTGATATTTTCAGTTGTGCGAAAACTGTTGGATCTGAATTTCGGAGACGAAATTCTTTTTAAGTGGTGGAGATTGTGACAACCCGGATTTTTAGGATTTTAATTTATATTTATTTCATGATTTTTAGTCAAGATTGGGTAATTAATTTTAAATTGGAGACTTATTCAATTGGAGATTTTGGGTTATTGATATTTTGTTAATTAGTGATTGTTTTTGAAAATATAGTTTTATTATATATATAGCATCTGTTGATTGAGATAAGGAGGAGCAGGTGGACAAATTGATAGGAGAAGAAAAAGATTGGTAATATTGATATGATTTTGCGGGATCCACAAAAAGAGAAGAAATTGATTTGGTTTGTGTTGCATTTGAATATACATATATATCTACATATACAGTGGCGTTCAATTGCTCCCTGGTGAGCATAGAGTAGTATACTCACTTTTAATCCTGACTTTAGAATCTAATCCTACGGTCATTAGTTAATCAGTGTTTCCTTAAGGCAATTGCTTCATTTTTTATTACCATTATATATTATTAATTGGAAATGACAAAACTAGACATGTTTTTAATGGAAACAAATTAAAACCAAATTGATTAGGATTTTCTTTTATACGAATTCCTTCCTATCCAAATTCTCAAAGCATACCAATTAAAAATAAAAAAAATTAATTATTTCCAATTCCCTTCGTTCCTATCCGTTTAGCCAGGGAATTCTCAAAGCATACCATTTGAAAAATCAACGCACAATCGTCCCCTTCTCAACCTTGCAATTAATTTATGTCTGTGAAACAACTACTTAATGAATAATCCAATTACAAAGGAATGTTGTACTCTCAAAATATATTTATTTGTATATGTGTGCGTAAAAATGAATTTAAAGACAAGTAAAATCATCAAATCATGTAACCCAATATATAAAATAAGAAAGAGAAAGGGAATGGACCACCTCCACCATCTAACCTGGCATTGCCGCCAGCTTCGTCGCCGCCTCTACCTACCCCACCACCTCCACCATCGCCGGCGGTGGTGGAGGTGGCGGCTGTGGCGGGGTAGGTGGTTGCAGCTACAGCGGAGGTGGTAGCCAGCGGTGGTGGAGGTGGCGGCAGTGGAGGGGTAGGTGGTGGCGGCGGCGGTGGTGGAGGTGGTGGTGATGGAGGTGGAATGCGTTGTGGCAATTCAAAGTTAATGGGATTGGAAATTTCATTATTTTTATTTTTTTTAGATGTGGTTGCCTTCTATGTTTTAACCTTCTATCATCAAAGGAATTGGAAATAATTAAATTTTTTAATTTTTAATTGGTATGCTTTAAGAATTCGGATGGGAAGAAATTCGTATAAAAGAAAATCCTAACCAATTTGGTTTTAATTTGATTCCATTAAAAACTTGTCTAGTTTTGTCATTTCCTATTTATAATATACAATTGTAATAAAAAAAAAAAAAAAAAGCAATTGCCTTAAATATAAAAAGTAAACACTAATTAATTAATTACCGTAGGATTAGATTCTAAGGTTAGGATTAAAAGTGAGTATACTACTCTATGCTCACCAGGGAGCAATTGAACGCCACTGTATATATATATATATATATATATATATATATATATATATATTATATTATATTATGTATATAGTGCATTAGATGGAACAAGGGGCTGCCAGCGAAATGAGAAAGAAGAAAGATAATGGTTTGGCGCGGGTCCCACCTAAAGATGATGAATGGGTTTGAACTTTGAATTGATTTTCTTTACATATTATATATATATATATATATATATATATATATATATATAAACTTTGAATTGATTTTCTTTGCATATATATATATATATATATATATATATATATATATATATATATATATATGTAATTTGATGGAAGAGGGGAGCACCTAGCTGAAGAGAAAAAAGGAGAATGGAAATGTGATTGTGATGATTCCCAGGGCCCATTGGGTGACTTTTTGGGCAAAATTGGTTTATGCTTTGGTTTTGTGCACGTGGGCTTGTCTGATGTTGGTATTTGAAATAATGTTGATGGAGGCGTATGGTGTACACTAATGTTGAGTGTCGGTGGAATATTGTCTATATAATATAGGTGTCTGTCTTGTGAGTTTAGTATGCAAACAGAAAGAAAAAATATATATAGAGAGAGAAAGAGAGCCGAGAGTGCATAGAGAGGGCGAGATTGAGAAGGCACAGAGAGAGCGGAGAGTTGCGGAGGAGGCCGGGAGCTTAAGACTTTGATGATCTAGTGAGAAAAATTCATTTTCAGGGTAGGGGTTTCTAATTCCCAATTTCTTGTACCTTTATAAATTTTTCTTCAATATTTGTTGTCAAGCATGCTTAATTTGAGTTGATTGCCTTTAAAATGATTTAATTGTGGTGCATGGAATCCATGATTATGTGTAGTAATTGATTTATATGGAAAGCATGCTTAATTGATAATATTCTATGCCTATTATGTTTAGAATTTGCCAAAATTTCATGATAAGAAAGTATGATATTTCCTTTGGATTTCTTGTAAAATTATGCTATGTGAATTGAGTTTATATTGGATATATGGTAATGGACATTGACATGACATGGAAGAGCATGATGCATTCATGCATAGCATTGGGCAAAGAGAAAAAAAAAAAAAAAAAAAAAAAATGGGAAAGAATTGTTTTAAAATGAAAAAGGGGCTTTGGGAAAAAAGTTTTGATAAATGGTTTTAAGGAAACTCGGACACCGAGGGGGTACCGAGAGTCCGTAGCGTTAATGTAACCTAGAGGGAATTAGGGAAATGACCTAGCATGGTTAAGCTATCTGGTCCCAAATGAAGCTACTAGGTTACCAAGGGTCAGCGACAGTAGCCAATCCTTCTCTCGTGTTGCCAAGGAGTCACTGAGGGACGGGTTATGTCAACGGTTTGAAAAGTGGAGAATGGAAGTGATTTTGAAAACGGGGAGCGACATAGCACTCTATAGCATCACATTGTCTGTTTTGGTCTTGTAATTTGTTGTATTTTCTCTCGGCATAGCACGATCCCGTTTTCTATATTTCTATTCATTGTTTGGATTCACGGGGTCACAAGAGGTGTGTCTTAGACACCACCTACTGAGCAATTTGCTTACCCCTTATATTTAACATTTTCAGGTCACGGAAAAGAAGTGGCAGATGACATTCCACCACAGGCCTAGTATGGGTTAGAAGATCATTTTATTGTTTTTGCATCTAAGCCTCACCATTTTTTTTGTAAAACTTAGCATATTATATTCTGTACTGAGATTTTTGGACTCTTGTTATTATAATTATATTCATAGGCTGTAACTTTAATATAAGTTGTCTAAACGTTGTAAGACATGGACTTTTGATTTTAGCCATATTTTTGGGACTGAATTATGATATTTGGATTAAATGGTATGTGGTTATTCCTCCATAAGATGAACTATGTTGAGACATAATGAATGGATGAAAGGAATGTTGAAATGTATTATTTGCATTGTGTGTGTTGGGACAAGTTAGATAAGTTTTGAAGGTCCAAGAGAGACCATTGCATTTTCATGCATTTAAGTAGGTTGTTGTAGGATCGTTTTTAGCAGAGGTCATGCCGAATTTTTTTATTTTATATAATTGGTATCATTTTAGGGTCGTTACAAAGCTATCCTTCTCAGCAGATTTTAGGCATTGATAGGCTGGATCAGATGTTTATACAAAGAACATGTAAGAAATAAAGATAAAGCATTTGTAATTAATATATGGTATAGGAAAAATAGAAAAAACTACTACTCCTTAAAATTGATTTCACCTCCACTGAATTGCTGCATTGCTGATGGAATGAGTTCTCCCGGCAGATGTTCCCCAGACACTTATTTGCATCTTCCAACTGCAGCAGTGAATTCAAGAATTACTTGTGTGAAAAATAGAGAATAAAGCTGAGAGGCCATGTTCATCAAGAGCGAGCTCGTACGGAACAAATGATTGACTGTTTGACAAGGTAGGAGAAAAGATAGTCCCATAGCGAAATATATATAGTGCTACATTACAGCAACATTGTAAACTGAAACTGGTGGATGATAATTTCCACCAGTCATTATGTAATGTCAATCATTTAAGAAAAAAAGAAAAAGATAAAAGGAAAGAAGCTAGACCGAAGAATTGAGCAACACACACCTCTCGCTGTAATCAGGTCTAGGACAACTAATGAAGGTTTTCATAGTGGTTGAGCTTGGAAACCATAGAGAGAATACCTGGTAAATTTGTTAGAAATTACTACAGGCACTGTATTCAAAATGACAATTCAAGAAAAATAAGAGAAATATTGCTGAAAATCTCATTTTATTTTAGTTTTATAGACTAAGAAATAAAATGGAATAAAATGAAATTCTATGAATTGTTATGCTAAAAAGGCCTGAAATTGGGATTTTTTTTTTTCTTTTCTTTTTGTGTGTTGTGCGTGGGTGGGTGGGGGAGGGGGTGTTGGAACTTGGATTCTATATTTTCCTTTTGAGACTTCAATGCTGAAACCCCCTCCATTTAATTATGTCCAACTTCATTAATTCATCAGCTTCTCTATTCAGTTTTTGCAGCAATCGTATAACAAGAAATCTAAAGCTACGGAGTTGAGATGTACCAAAATTGGGGTCATGTTATAAGAATGACTTACTGAAGCTTAAAACTCACACCAAAGCCACCTACCTCCATTGAATTGGCTCATGCCAAGCTAACAAGGTGGCTTTAAGAAAAATTTATAATACATAACACTAAATCATCCCAAACCTTAGAGGTTTTCCTTTAATTATATTGACGGAAATAAATTAAATATTTCATTAAACTATAACAATATTCACAGGAAAAAACAAATATCAAGCGTACTAAAGATACTCCATTATATTCAAATTTTAGTCAGATAGAATAACCAAAATCGATTTCGATATTATAAAATCTTAAATTTTGAATTCAGATTTGAACATTCGTATATAAATAAAATATGTAAATCAACTTTTATTGAGTAAGATTCTTGTCATAGTTTGAAAATATCAAGGTGAATGGCTCTGTTAGAATGGTACTGTTGTTTGTGGACTCTGGATGGAAATGACACCCTTTTCTACCCTTCCGGCTCATAATTTGCATGCTCTTCAATAAAAAGTTAATTTAATGCAAAAGACAAAAGTTTTACCTTGTGACTTCAACCAAGCAGTCATTTTTTGCAAACGCTAAATTCTTGATTTATTTTCCCTTGAAACTTTGCTTCTAGTTCAGAGAAAGGAACGGTTCAAGCAGCTAATCTAGAAAAAGAAATAAATGAATAGAGAAATTAGAAGCTTATATATACATCAAGCACATCAAGGAGAGAAGCATTTTGCCTCCATTAACAATCTTACAATATCGCCTAAACATAGAAGACGTAGATCAAAATTCGTATTAATAGACGTTGGTGCAATAAATATGTATAATCTACAACCATGTTAGGCACTAAATGTTATACATTTTAGCCCCTTAATTTGCATGGTTTTTTCAGTTTGTAGTAGTTTATTTTAGATTTTACATTTTTTTATTGTTTTTATTTATTTTAGGGCTTTAATTGTAAAATCAGTCAACACCAGTGATTCTGAGCTTTAGAAGATGACATTCCGTGGGACCGAGCAATGTTAAAGATTCAAGTCTAATTATATTTAGAAAATAGTCCAAAAGAAGCTACAAGTTGATGAGAATGGAAAGAAGAAGAAAAGGAAAAATCCTTCTCCAAAAAGGAAACTTTCGCCAAAGTTGGTAACTTGAACTTGTTTTGGTAATCTGGTTGTATCTCTCTCCTCGAGTGTCAAAACGGCTAAATTATCATGTAGGTTGAAAGGAAATTCGAAGAGCTTTAATTTTGTATTTCATAAGGATTTCCTAAAACAGCTGATTTAGCCCTAGCTTAGCACACTTGTTTGATTGTATTTAATTATTGGAGAAACGATTTTTATCATGCATGATTGTGTAATCTATAAGATTTTTAATTGGCTTTTCAATAAGAATCAGTTTTAGGGTTTTAATTCAATTACAAATATTCTGTAATGACCCTAAACTGAATACCAATTATCAAAAAAATTCGGCATGACCTCTGCTAAAAAGAGGCTTACAACAACATGCTTAAATAAAAAAAATGCAATGGCCTTTCTTGGCCTTTCAAAACTTCTCCAACATGTAAATATATATATATATATATAATACATTCCCAAAATAACCACATCAACAATCTCCTCAAGATGGCCCATCATCATCATCATTCCATTCAACACAAAATATTTACATAGTCTCACTTCCCCTCAAAATACCAACAAAAGTTATAGTTTACAATACATGACCATGGCTTGCAAAATGCATACACTTCACTATGGTTTTAAGACTTTACAAAAGTGTAGCAAATATACAAAAGTAGTAAAAATATAAAATATATATTCCCAGTCCTCTTTAAGTTTATGAAGGGTCTGCGTCTCCTACTTCTTTCCCGAGTCCTGAAAAAATGTTAAATATAATGGGGTGAGCAAATTGCTCAGTAAGTGGTGCTTAAGACACACTTCTTATGGCCCCGTGAATCCAAATAATGAATAGGAATAGAGGATATAGGATAGGGGTCATGCTATGCCAGAAAAGAATACAACATAAATTCCAATTTTAAATAAACAATGTCATGCCATGATATGCAACGTTATGCATGTCGCTCCCCATTTTCAAAACTCAAATCCATCGCTTTTCAAACTGTTAATATAACCCGTCCTTTGGTGACTCCACAGCGACACGAGAGAAGGATTGGTTACTGTCTCTGACCCTTGATACCCCCGCGGCGTCATTTGGGGCCAGATAGCTCAGCCATGCTAGGGTGTGTCCCTAGTTCCCTCTAGGTTATATTAACACCATGGTGACTCCGTGGTGACTGAGTTTTTATAAAAATCACATTAATCAAAACTTTATTCCAAAAATCCCTTTTTCATTTACTTCAAATCATTTTGCCCTTTTTGCATGCCCAATGTTATGAATGCATGCCACATACTTTGACATTACTATGAAAATAAATGAATTTCCGCCACACAATTTAACATGCTTCCACATACCAATTTCTAGCAAAATCTTAAACATCATGGCATGAAAATTTACATTTAGGCATGTTTTTCATACAATTTAATTCATACACATAATCATAAATTTCATCTACAACAATAAAATCATTTTCAAGGCAATAATTCAAATTAAGCATGTTAATTTGCACAATATCAACTATACACAAAATCATATACTTCATATACACAATTAAATCACTTTAGAGTAAAATCAACTCAAATTAGCATACTAGGACACTAATTAAGTAAAATTAACTCACAAAGGTGCAATAATGTGTGGATTAGAAACCCTTATCTTGAAAAAAAAAATTTCCTCACCAAATTATCAAAGCCTCAAGCTTCCGGCCTCCTCCGCAACCTCACGGACTCTCTCTATAACTCTCGTCTCTCTGTGTCTCTCTCGGCTCACTTTGTTTTCCTCTATTTTTCTTTCACTTTGTATCATTACCAAAGTTGCAAAACACACTCTTTATAAAGGCAATTCCATTGACTCCCAACAAAAACGCTCACCACTCAAACAAAATGCCAGCCATCAAAACCCACTTGAATAAAGTGGCCAAAGTCAAAAATAATCATTACTTTTTTTTTTTTTTTTGTATCTATCTTTTCCTTCATCAAATCACTTTCTGTACTTCCTATATATATCATCTCATAAGCAACAAATATGAGCTGTGCATTGCCAAAGCCCAAGTTTTGCCCAAGTAAAACACTAGTGGGCTCCACACCCATCATTTCAACCTCACCATTTACCACCTTGTTTTTTTCTTTCTTTTTAACAAGCACCATTGACCCATCATCAAATGCATATATATATATATATATATATATATATATATATATAATGCAACAAACCAAACCCATTAAAATCTAAGTAGGACTCGAACCACCATCATCACATTACCAAATCTCTTTCCTTTCTCTCATTGACGTCGGCTGCTCTCTCATTTTCCTATCACCATAAAACATAACATTTATATATCTATTATACAAATGCAACATCAAATGGGACCCGCCAAAAATACTATTATAACAATTTCATTCTTTCTTTTTTTTTTTCTTTTTTTTCCCCTATTTCTCTTTGCTTCCGGCAGATGCATCTCCTAATGCATCAGTGTTACAAATATATATATTAAATAAGTAACAAAACTAATTAACCCAATTAATACCTCCACTGGGCCCACGAAAATATCACCAATTTTGCCTCTTTTTTTTTTTGGTCTTTAATTTCGGCTGGGATATGCCTACCTCATCAATCAAATATAATCTAAACAATATGCAACGGAAAATTATAAACCGGAAGTGTCCAATTAAATAATCAATAATCCCATCTCCAATTAGGTAAGTCTTCAACCAAAAGAAAGATTAATTATGACAACTAAATATAAATTAAAGTCTTAAAAATTTGGATTGTCACATTCTCCACCACTTAAAAAGAATATCGTCCCCCAAATTCAAATCCAATAGTTTTCGTATACCTAAAAATACCAATAACCACAAAACAAAACCCATAAATCCTTACCCTAGGCGATGTGAGATAATGATATGTAGGATGTTATGGTAGCTGCCAGTGCTAGTCACCTGCCCACACACTCCGTAACCGTTATGGTAGCTAGTCGATGCGTCACCCGCCCACTAAAAAAATAATAATAAACCCGGGCTACCTGCCCAACCACACTAACCAACCATCCCAGTAGCTGCCGGTGAACGTCATCCGCCTACACACACCCGGCTACGGGTGGTAGCTAACCAGTACTACACATTCGCCCACTCACACCCGTCTACATCATCACTATACTCACACTTTCGGCTGGGTACAGGCTTTGTCAGACCAAGCACTAGCTATCTAAGGCATAGTTACACCATCCCATATCAGTACAAGCGACCACCAACTACACTATTCAGCAATCATTACACTTAACAACCTCAAGATGATTAAACAACTAATCTCCCAACAACTACATAATCATGAATCACCAGAATAATAAAACGAGCAATCATATACCTAGGACACAAATCCTTAAAACATGATCTTTAATAATCAAATGGATTCGGCACTGTATCTCACCTAACACACCTCGTCACCCGAGACAACTTCCTAAATCCACACCACCACACTAACACACACCCAATACCATACTCTCACTATTCGTGACAACCCAAAAAAACCATTGACCTTTGACCCGACATCACACTAAAGAGGGATTGATTCAAGAAAAATGGTTGGCCAGGCTATTCTCATCCTCGATCTGGTCTCAACACAGACGTCGTTCTTGTCCTCAGGTCCACACGTCAAACACAATCTCACACAGCCCACAAAACAATAATGAGACTCATTCACTATCCATCCATCACTGTATGTAACCTCAACAACCATACCGTCATATACCTATTCTCAGATGCCTAATTATGTTTCAATCATCAACCAACATCAAAGCTTTCTTATCTTCTCATAATACCCACACCAGGTAAACAACTTCATAACATCATTCGATTCGATTTCGACCTCGTCAAAACACACAATACAACCATCTCATGCCTGAAACCTTAAAACCAAAGTCAATCATTCCTATTATTCCTCAATGAAATCACACATCCATTCTCTAGCTACTTAACACTCAATAATACCAACACTTGTCATCAAGACACTACTCAAATCAAACATAATAAAAAATCCGAACATACGACTCACACCACATCACCTAATCATCCTCAATCTTTCGTTCATGACACCTCCCTAGCCATCACTGATAGTACTAAATATCATTAACATAACCCTTATTTGGCAACCCGTGCCTCACATTCCACCGGCCAAAACCACTCTCAGAACAAGTACTATAAAAACCAAAGACTCCACCTCCCTCCGTGGGAGTGAGTCAACCAATCAAACCGAACCTTACTGGTAAACTTTAACAGCAAAACAACCCACGTACAAGTCCATCCATCTGCGGACGAACATAACTCCAGACAAGACATATGACAAACGACGTTCTTGTCAGGACTAGAGTAAATAGAAAGGGTAACGACCCCGCTCTCACAAGAGACTGACAACTCATACCCGAATGTACCCGATACCCTATCACACTCTACTCACCAATCGTCCAACCATAGACACCCAATCTCACCAGAGATGAAATGAACTCCTTACACACAAGGAGAAAAACTAACTGGGAACACATATAGGACTACGGCCGTAACTCTAGGCGGCCTTGCCACAAATGGACCGTCACACTTAGTCAACACCGGAACCTTGCATACGTTACCCCGCAACACTCATACTAGCCAAAGCTAATCAGATAAGAGCACCAACGCTCACGTCACATTACCACTAGGAACGATCATTATATGTCGGGCACCATGTCCCATTCCACCTTCACCTTTCAAGGCAACATTATCTTGAACACCATGCACAAACCCACTACTCGTCAAAAGAAAAAGGTGCCTATTTGGTAACATCGTCCTCACTGACTCTAAAAACTAATCAATCCCCAATCGCCTCAACTGATTCACAATCTCATCAACTACCTGACAACACACAACAAATAATCCCTAAACTACATTCGGATCATATCTTAAACCATTCTGCTCATCAGCGCTAAACATTACCTTTATTACTATTCTTCTAAAAGGACAATTCTAACCTCTATTATCATCAAGCTACTACCAAGTGATTCTTCCTCAAACATCCTTAAAATAATACCATCAGAACAAAAGAATAAGCATTACTCTCGATACCCCCCCCCCCCCCCCCACAACAACCACTTTTTATCATTAGGAAAGAACCTCCATACGGTAATGTCATGCCGACAAACCCCTCAAAACAAAATGAGCACAAACCTCAAAATGCTCAACTCCCAATTGTCACCTCAATACCATCAATGAAGCCATCAATCATTAACGCTTAACCGACAACATCAAACCACTCTTTCTAAGCGATCTACGCATCCAAACAAGGAAACTTCATACCCTAAGTTCAACATCGTTACTTTTCCTCATTCCCGTTCCTTAAAACATCCTTGGCCCTGACAAAAATCAAATGGGGCTACCAATTAACTTACAAGATCAACCTCATCCCAATCACTCCAATCATTAGTCTATCTCCTCGAATCCTCAAATAATAAGCACTATCTCCTGATACGCCAAACGCAATCCGAAATACAACCCAAATTCATAGCTTTCAAATTCTAGAATACAATTCATTTGATAACACAATACTCATCAGCTTTCACTTCATCGATAAACAACCAAGCACTCCAAGGACCCTATACTACCTGCCTTATCGTGCAACCCTGCACTACACAGCTAAAACTGACCATTATACCTCACCTCTAAACCCTCTAGACAGCCATACCAACCCAAAACCACGCTCATCGACTGAGCCATACAACCAACTCACTGAGAGTCAATCACCCGTAACACACTCCTATAACTATCCTCAATGAGAATCACTCCTCGACAAACCAATCTCTAAGGCACACTCTTACAACCCATGAACTGAATCACATCAAATAATTGATCACCCGGCACTAGCATGATTCCAGTCAATGCCTACACCACCCTAGACTCAGAGTCTAACAAGTCCCCTTGACAATCATGACCAACACGCTTCCTTAAGCCATTCCAATAAGCTCGAGATACACCTTTACAATCCATAGACTACATTTGTGACTCAATCAACCCTCATCACACCTACCACAACTAGTTCGAAGAAAACCTCCACACTAAACCATGAACTGAGTCGCTAACACCAACCTCCTAAAGTTATACCGAAACCCTCACTCGCACACTTGACCTCCACGGTCACCAAAACCATACACCAATACATGAAACTCACACACAACAAAGGCATCTTGCCACGAAATATGAATCTGTTCTAAAGTCGTGCTCTAAGCACCGCACAAAATGCAACTAAGAAGAGCAGGATAACTATATGCCAAATAGCTCAATCCATGAGCTAGAAGCCCATGCCATTAGTTCGACAAAAACCGACACCCAAACAACCCTGGAGCAACCGAGCTCCTTGCCTACTCAAGTCAAAACTTACACAACCCTCAATACTGTGACAAGTACCCCAACGTACTAGCAACCATCCCAATGCTTAACCGTATAACCACATAAGAACAAAGCCATATACGTATACAAAATGAATGAAACCCATAATACTACATGAAACACGTTGGCATATGCCATGCTCATTACTTGTCACATTAGCATTTAAATTAGAACTGCACACACCATGCCTACCACTTCTGTTACAATACTCCTCATTCACAATTAACATGTTTTTCTTTTCTTTTACATTTCATTTACATGATTAGATCATCTAACTATTCCTCGTGCATGGCCATGTAACATAAACCTTACCATATAAACATATAAACATGTAAACATATAGCAAGGAAACATGTCTTTCAAAACCGTGAGCATATAAACATGTAAACAAGTAGACAGTTAAGCTTGTTTTTCAAATAACAAAATACTTTAGCAAGTAGTCACATAAATAATGCAAATGACTTCCCACATAGCCCTAGGTAGGCCTCTACCCGTCGTCCTAATGGTTTTTGAACCATTGCTCTAATACCAAATTTGTAACAACCCTAAACTGAATACCAATTATCAAAAAAATTCAGCATGGCCTCTGCTAATAAGGGGCCTACAACAACCTGCTTAAATAAAAAAAATGCAATGACCTTTTTTGGCCCTTCAAGACTTATCCAACCTATAATATATATATATATATATATATATATATATATATATATATATATATATATATATATATATAATACATTCCCAAAAAAACCATATCAACAATCTCCTCAAGATGGCCCATCATCGTCATCATTCCATTCAACACAAAATATTTACATAGTCTCACTTCCCCTTAAAATACCGACAAGAGTTATAGTTTACAATACATGACCATAGCTTGCAAAATGCATACACTTCACTATGGTTTTGAGACTTTACAAAAGTGTAGCAAATATACAAAAGATAGTAAAAATATATATTCCTAGTCCTCCTTAAGTTTATGAAGGGTCTGCGTCTCCTACTTCCTTCCCGAGTCTTGAAAAAATGTTAAATGTAATGGGGTAAGCAAATTGCTCAGTAAGTGGTGCCTAAGACACACCTCTTATGGCCGCGTGAATCCAAATAATGAATAGGAATAGAGGATAGGGGTCATGCTATGCCGGAAAAGAATACAACATAAATTCTAATTTCAAATAATCAATGCCATGCCATGATATGCAATGTCATGTATGCTGTGATACCCCTCGATTCTAGAGCCACGGGTGATCAAGTCAGAGCACAGATCCGAGGGATACCAGACAATCAATATGTAAATAAGCAAGAATAAAAACTGAATTAAGAATAAAATAATAATGCGCTGAAAGAAAACTAAAATTAAAATTCTCAAACTTTAAATAATAAATTAAAATAATTTAAATTCTTCAAATCCGTACAACTTGGGAATCCATCTGGTGGACCCCTAACAATCCCCAAATGAAAATAATTTACATACCGATATCCAAAACTAAAATAGAAAGGAAATCCTATGTAATCGAAAGAGTAAGTGTCTGTATCTGCATCAACACGATCAAGCTCTAAGCCTGCTACTGACGAACACCTGAAAAATAAGAGTAAGTCAGGCCCACATGCAAGTTCCATCCTACTACAATCCATACATAAACCCGATACGCAGATACATCCTAGATAGCTCGGCAATATCTAAAATAGTTCATATAGATATAGATACACACTATAGGATACTCACTAACCTATAGTCATCACACCTGAGTAGAAGGTAACATGCAAAACACTGTAACGTAGTCATGCACACCTAGACCTATTAGGGAATGTCATTAGGTCCAGTTATCCATCCAAGTGATATATGCACCCTAACCGTGATCAGGAGACTCAAGCTCGTATCACGGTACCATGAGTATATATATATATATATATATATATATTCTTCCTAATGCAGAAAAATAAAGCAAATATCTATTATGTCGTTCAACTATTTTAGTTGACAAGACATGCATCCATGTAGGATTTAACTGTTTTAGCTAATCCATTCCGTATGTATGAAGAGGTAGGACTTAGCTTTTTGATCTAATCCATCTCTGATATGCCACCATCCCATACCGGTGCATATAATGCATATAATCCACTAATGATGCACACTCAGATGAATGTCAAGTATATCCAGAAACCAACATAATAGAAATTAGATATTAATAAGATCGTATCACGCATCCAGTATATGATTATAATCATAAAAACTCCTTTTAAATTGTTAGAGTACTGATAAACAATTTAAGTTATCCAAATCCATCCAATTGACAAAACAGAAATTAAAACAGTTCATCAATTAACAACCATAGCATGGTATAATCATTACCAGAATTATGAACTGAGTACATTATACTAGAAATCCCAAACCATACTCTCATACTAGTTCATTTTAAATCACTAAAACAAAAACTAGTAATGAAATCCTCCACAATCCTTGACGGCATGAAAGTTAACATTTACATCACATGACGTCCATTTAATCCTCCACTCCAAAACCCGTGCCTGATATAATATGACACTCTGAATTCCAAACTGCACAATATATGAAACCCAACAGTATTCCCATACTAATCTATTTAGTTCGCTAAAACAAAACTGGCAACTAAAATTCTTACCATGCCGTTTAATATCTAAGTTCATGATGTCTATGACCATGTCCTAAACTGACCTTTCCAGCCTCCTTCAAATTACCTATATAATTTATATGACATCCCAAAAGTAATTCAATACTAGTCAGTTTAAGTTGTTAAAATAAACTGAGTAACTTAAACCTTCCTCCTTCCTTGACAGCATGCCTATTCTACGTTTCCGTTTCATAATGCCCTTTAGGATTAACACCCTAGCATAAACCAACTATTTAAGGGTCTTAATAGGTTAATTTTTACACATTTGAAACCCCCTTCATTTCTCAGTATTTGCATTTAACCCCCTGAACTCCAAAAAATTGCAGAAAACACTCCGTAGGGGTTTCTGTTCAAGGGAGCCGGCTCCCCACCATGGGAGCAGGCTCTTCATCTTCCAGAGCCGGCTCTCTACCTTCTTGGGAGTCGGCTCCCTCACTTAGGGAGCCGACTCTCTCTCTCTGAGAGCCCGCTCTTCCGTCTCTAATCTTAGTCTTCACTTTTGGCGCAATTCCAGTCATCCGTCCCATCTTTGTTACAGATTTTTAAACTTCCTAGGGTCCAATTTACATCCAAACAGTCCTAGAACACCCTCACATTCCCTTAGGATATGATTTACAAAAGCTTAAATCCTAGTCACAACAGTTGAAGCAAAGAACAAATACAGAAACACAAAATGTAAAAGCAAATTTTAGCTTGGTTCATTATGCATAAATATTCGTTTTAACATTTAATTAAATTCCTGGAGTCTATTTAGAATGCACAGAACATAAGTTTATAGGAAGGAGATAGAATGAAACTTGCCTTTAGGTTTCGGTTTGAATCCTTTCAATGCCGTCTTTAAGTTTCAGAATTCTCCAAGACTGTTCCTTCCTCTGACCACTATTCCATTCCTCTGTTGCTTCTTGGTTCCATCCAGAAGCAACCCCTTAGTTCTTCCTCTATTATTCCTCCTTAGCCTCATAGATTACCACTCGAGACCCTCTCTATTTTCCTCTCACACTTCTCTCTGTTTTTCCTCTCCAGACTCTATTATATGAATAAGGTTTTTCCCAACCCTAGCAGTCGTATAAGAATATGTATATATAGACGTCCCAATCCTAAGTCTGCTTATAACCTTATATCTACAAGTTTTAATTAAAACCTAATATAAGTCGGCGACCTAATTATACAAAACAATAAAAACCTTATGACATAAATAAATTCTGTAAGCTACCAAATATAATCCACCAATCATAAGCTACCAAAGACACGTCAATTAATACCAATAATAATTAAACAATTAATTTAAACAAACCAACAATTTCAATTAAACAAATAATACAATTAACCACATAGCCAGATAATCATAATTAAATGCACACCACTAATAATCAATTACTCAATTTAAAAATACAACCAATAAAACTAAACAATTAATTTAAATAATCAATTAAATAAACCCAATTAATTAAATAAATAAAAATGCAATAAAAACCAAAATTAAATAAATTAAATTCCTATTTTATCCTTTTGAAAACTAAAGGTATTACATATGTCGCTTCCCATTTTCAAAACTTAAATCCATCGCTTTTCAAACTGTTAATATAACACGTCCTTTGGTGACTCTACAGCGACACGAGAGAAGGATTGGCTACTATCCCTGACCCTTGGTACCCCTGAGGTGTTTTTTGGGGCCCAGATAGCTTAACCATGCTAGGGTGTTTCCCTAGTTCCTTCTAGGTTATATTAACACCACGGCCCTTTGGTGACTCCGCGGCGACCGAGTTTTTATAAAAATCACATTTATCAAAACTTTGTCCCAAAAATCCCTTTTTCATTCACTTCAAATCATTTTGCCCTTTTTCCATGCCTAATGTTATGAATGCATGTCACATACTTTGACATTACTATGAAAATAAATGAATTTCCACTACACAATTTAACATGCTTCCACATAGCAATTTCTTGCAAGATCTTAAACATCATGGCATGAAAATTTATATTTAGGCATGCTTTTCATACAATTTAATTAATACACATAATCATAGATTTTAACTACAACAATAAAATCATTTTTAAGGCAATCAATTCAAATTAAACATGTTAATTTGCACAATATCAACTACACACAAAATCATATACTTCATATACACAATTAAATCACTTTATAGTAAAATTAACATAAATTAGCATGCTAGGACACTAATTAAGTAAAATTAAATCACAAAGGTGCAAGATTGTGTGGATTAGAAACCCCTACCTTGAAAAAAGAATTTTCCTCACTAGAATATCAAAGCCTCAAGCTCCCGGCTTCCTCTGCAACCTCACGACTTCTCTCTGTAACTCTGGTCTCTCTGTGTCTTTCTCGGCTCACTTTGTTTTCCTCTATTTTTCTTTCTCTTTGTATCATTACAAAGTTACAAAATAGACTCTTTATAAAGGCAATTCCATTGACTCCCAACAAAAATGCTCACCACTCAAACAAAATGCCAACCATCAAAACCCACGTGAATAAAGTGGCCAAAGTCAAAAATAATCATTACTCCCTTCTTTTTTTTTTTTTTTTTTTTTTTTTGTAACTTTTCTTTCATTAAATCACTTTTTGTACTTCCTATATATATCATCTCACAAGCAACAAATATGAGCCGTGCATTGCCAAAGCCCAAAAGAGTTTTGCCCAAGTAAAACACTAATGGGCTCCACACCCATCATTTCAACCTCACCATTTACCACCTTTTTTTTTTCCCTTCTTTTCAACAACAACCATTGACTAATTATCAAATGCTATATATATATAATGCAACAAACCAAACCCATTAAAATCTAAGTAGGACCCGAACCACCATCATCACATTACCAAATCCCTTTCCTTTCTCTCATTGACGTCGGTTGCTCCCTCATTTTCCTATCACCATAAGACATAACATTTATATATCTATTATACAAATGCAACATCAAATGGGACCCGCCAAAAATACTAGCATCACAATTTCATTCTTTCTTTCTCTTTTTTCTTTCCCATTTCTCTTTGCTTTCGGCAAATGCATCTCCTAATGCATCAGTGTTACAAATATATATATTAAATAAGTAAAAAAACTAATCAACCCAATTAATACCTCCACTGGGCCCCATGAAAATATCACCAATTTTGCTATCTTGCTTCTTATTTTTTTATTTTTTATTTTTTGGTCTTTAATTTCGGTTGGGACATGCCTACCTCATCAATCAGATATAATCTAAACAATATGCAACAAAAAATTATAAACTGGAAGTGTCCAATTAAATAATCAATAACCACATCTCCAATTAGGTAAGTCTTCAACCAAAAGAAAAATTAATTATGACAAATAAATATAAATTAAAGTCTTAAAAATTCGGATTGTCACATATTCTTCTATCTAGTCTTAGATATTTTAATCTTGTGACTAAACACAACTTATTCACTTCTTGTAGTTGTGAATGAGATGATTACAAAATGGTTTTTCTCTGAATATAATGTTAGAGATTTGATGGATTATGCCTAGAAAAGATAAACCATGTTACGCAATAAATTAAAGTAGATAGGTAGATGATTTATACCAATCGAAGATAGTCCATGCTTAACTTTAAATTATATTATTTTCTAGCTGAATTAACATGTGCTTGTAGCCATGATTAATTCACTGTGCATGTTATATGATATATCTCCAATAAATTGATGCAATTGACTGATGGTGCGACGTTAGTGGTGAAATCATACCCCTAGTCCTCTCTCTCTATTTTCTACATCCTATTTAATCATTGTTCTTTAGTTTATTTTATTTTTCTACTTAGTTAATTTAGAATAAATCATCACAATCTGATTATCCTACTTTCAAGTTAGTTTGGAATTTAAGAAATCTGTTGACAAACTTATTTTATACAAGTCCCTTGGGTACGACACCCTTACAAGTAAACCCTATCTGCAAATATTCGTGCACTTGCGAGTGGTACATATAAATCTCACAACAAGTTTTTAAAGTTAATTTTGAATTTAAGAAATCTATTGACAAACTTATTTTACACAAGCTTGGATACGACACCCTTACAAATAAACCCTATCTGCAAAGATTCGTGCACTTGCGAGTGGTATATATAAATCTCACAACAAGAAATTTGAGAAGGGATCTGAGGAATTGAAGTTATAGAAGTTGGGTTCAATTGAAAAGACATTACTATATAGGTAACTTGCTAGTTCACAAATTTCACAATATTGGGGGTTGATTCTGCTATTGTTCTTGTTATATAAGTGTGTGGGAAATATTGAGATGAAGTATGAAAATAGGAACAAAAGAATATAGTCAGATAATAATTTTTAAAGTATTTTCATGTAGTCTTCCCCTTGATTATTATGATGATATGAGAATAAGTTAATTGCCAGAGGATTGAATTGTGTAGCATGTTTGTGGGTATCATCTCTGAAAACCCTCATAAGACTCGACTCATCCACTAGGGGTAACATAGGGGTTTAAAAGGCTTGTTGCATACGCTAAATACAATCGTGATTCCCACGAAAGTGGCATTTTATTTTTTTTTCTTTACTTTTATTGCTATGGGACTAGTAATATGTAGGTTTGGGGGTGTGTTAGGCACTAAATGTTATACATTTTAACCTCTTAACTTGCATGTTTTATTCAGTTTGTTGTAGTTTATTTTAGATTTTACATTATTTTATTGTTTTTATTTATTTTAGGGCTTTAATTGTAGAATCAGTCAAGACCAGTGATTCTGAGCTCTAGAAGATGACATTCCGTGGGACCGAGCAATGTTGAAGATCCAAGTTTAATTATACTTAGAAAATAGTCCAAAAGAAGCTACAAGTTGATGAGAATAGAAAGAAGAAGAAAAGGAAAAATCATTCTCCAAAAAGGAAACTCTCGCCAAAGTTGGTAACTTGAACCCGTTTTGGTAATCTGGTTGTATCTCTCTCCTCGAGTGTCAAAATGGCTAAATTCTCACGTAAGTTGAAAGGAAATTCAAAGAGCTACAATTTTGTATTTTAGAAGGATTTCCAAAAACAGCTGTTTACCTTGTCAAAATTGGGCTAGAAGTCTATACAAATTTTAGAGTCCTTATTTGACAGAATTTCTATGTATGTCTTCTATATGAAAAAGGGAACTTTAGGGCTGATCTTTTATTATTTAAAATGAGTCTTCTACAGCATTGAAGCAACAAGATACAGAGGAGCTTGAGGCAGAGATCGGAGGAGAAGTATTCAGAAAAGAGAAGAGATCAATCCATGGCGGTGAAAATGTCTTCCTTAACTATAAAGAATTCTACTCCAGTCATGCATGGCTAAACACTTTGCTAGGGTTGTGATGTAGCCCTAGCTTAGCACACTGGTTTGATTGTATTTAATTACTGGAGAAACAATTTTTATCTTGCATGATTGTGTAATCTATAGGATTTTTAATTGACTTTTCAATAAGAATCGGTTTTAGGGTTTTAATTCAATTACAAATATTCTTCTATCTAGTCTTAGATATTTTAATCATGTGATTGAACACAACTCATTCACTTTCTTGTAGTTGTGAATGAGATGATTGCACAATGATTTTTCTCTGAATATAATGTTAGAGATTTGATACCTTACATAGTTCGCATAACGGTCGCACATAAACCTTCAGGATTTGAGCAATGCCAGGCCATTCTTCCTCTATTTCCTCAAAACATCCATCCTTTTAACTCCTCTAGACAATACTCAATATCCAATTTTGTGCACAAAACTTTTTTTTTCCTGTTGAACCTCTGGCCTCTTGGATCCTTTAAATTTTTTTCATGTCACAAAATATTAAATCAAATTGATAAATGATTTTCTAATTGAGGACACCAAATACGGTGTGGGCTAGATACAATCCATATGAAGAGCAATGGGCCGGGTAATTGCCATGGTCTGAACCAGACCCTCACCAGATGGGCCCAAAACTAAAGAAACAGCAAATGATCCATTAAATGTAATGAGGCCGTTAAGTTGATAAGCCCAGGAGGGAGCCCAGTTCAGGGAGTTAGGTAGGAAACTTCTAAAAAGCATGTAACAGTCTATAAATAGGCTGAAAATAGGTGGAAAAGGGGTTGAACAATTTTGGAGTGTAGACTTACTCTTTCAAAATGGAGAATGAGAAATTCTACCATCTTCAATGGGGCCGTCTGTGGGAAACGATGAGGATTAGTTGGCGATTGGTGAAGAGTGATTCGTGATTCGTGATGAAGAAGCTGAATCAAGATTGGTGAAATCGTTGTCTGTTTAGCTGAATCCTGATTCTGGTTGACTGTGAGAGATTTGCGTTCGATCTACGCAGATATGATTTGTGCTTGTTCAGTTGATTAACGTGGTGGTATTTTGTTTGACAAAGCTAGATCTGATGAATTCATAGTGGAAGACGTTCAGATCTAGTTTTGAAAGATCGGAATTCAGTTAATTTGAGTATAGATCTATCGTGATTGCGTTAGCAAAACTCTGATTTGATTAGAAATTTGCAGTTAATGACTTTGCTTAGATCGGGAATGATGATCGAAGATGAGAGCTTTAATCCAGTGGAGAATGGCTAACAGTCGAAGCTCGATGAGTTGATGAACATGCTCAAAGCCTTGAGAAGAGAGAACGTAGAATTGTGAGCTGGAATGGAGCGCCGTGAGGCTCTTGCTATTCCAAGGCAACCTATGGTAGGAGAGGGAGTCTTATCGTTCAATGCCGTTCCTCAAAGTAATTTGGAAGTTAACAATCGCGTGGATCCTCATCGAGAGGAAGTTATGGTAGGTGATCTGCCTCCAATCGTTCGCCAGGTGAAGGATCAAGAGGGATCTATTCATTTGGATCCACATCATGAGCGAAAAATAAAAAAATAATAATTAATTGGTCCATGGGTCATAACGGGTTGACCCTGCCCATTTCAACCCGCTCATTTTTAACCCGTTTTGAACGGGTTGAATGTGGGTCTTGACCCATTTTAACCAGCCCATTTTTAACCCAACCCAAACCCTACCCAACCCGCCCATTTGCCACCCCTACCTGTGATAACCAAGCAGGGTTGCATCCCCGTGGCAAAGTGAATTTACGGAGGATAGATTGATTGATCCACCTTATTGACCTTCAGTGCCAACATTTGAGTATAGGAGTTCGGAAAGGAAGTCCAAAGACCATAGAGTTCCATTACGGTTCTCAAGGGAGAATGAAGCACTCCGTTCATCCGCAAGAATGGTTGCATGTCCATTCACTGCCGAAATCCTGAACGCTCCAAAATCCGAGAAATTTTTCCATGCTAGTTTTCATTCTATTTGATGGAATAACAGATCCGATTGATCACATCTATCACATTCAGCTGAAAATAGCTTTGAACACGAACAATGATCTTTTGATGTGCAAATGCTTCCCTACGAGTTTGGCTGGACCAGCTCTCAATTGGTTCAAGAATCTGACTCAAGGCTCAATCGCTAGCTTCCAAGATTTGTATAACACGTTCATCATCCAATACTATGGGAATAAGTGCCTGGCTAAAGATGTTTTAAGCCTTTTCACTATAAAGCAGCATGAAGATGAACGACTTCAAGCTTTCCTCACCAGGTTTAATCTTGTCAAGAGCATGGTAATGGAATGTCATCCATCCATGGCAATCCAAGCATTCAAGCTGCCCATGACCCGAGGAACACCATTCCACATAAGTTTGGTGGTGAACACACCGAAGACCATGGATGAGCTGAATGAAAAAGCTGATGGTTTTGTGCGTCTGGAAGAAGAGAAAGTAGCTAATGCAATGAAGACATCAATCATCTTAACAGAGCAGAAGTCCAAAGCTAAGATCTAACAAAAACAAGCTCAGCCACAGCGTCAGACCTCCTGGAAGGCCAAGAAAAGACCCAGAGAGGATGAGTTGATTACTCTGCTTAGAGTTACCCTGGCAAGGCTGTATCAAGAGAACAAAGATAAGTTTCGCTCTTTATTACCAATCAGGCAACCTCTTGAACAGAGGGATCAGTCTAAACATTGTGCTTTCTATAGTGATTTTGGTCATTAGACTAATGAATGCAGGAACCTGAGGAGGCAAGTGGAGATGCTGATCGCAAGGGGGGAGTTTGTGGGGTATATTCACGGGCCGCCACAAGAACAGAACCGACCGGATGAGCAAGTCAAGGGATCTCAGAAACTAAACCACCACGGCACTCAGCCCGTTCGGATTAAAAATGCAATCCATGGTCGACCTGAACAAACCGCAGAATAGGAAGAGTTACTTCGAATGCGTCTCTGTCAGGCACAAATGAAGAGGAGAATAGGAAGCGTGAACGCTCTACACCATCAGAAGGCAGTAACACAGATAAAGTTTGACAGAACAGACTTGCTGCGAGTTCAGACTCCACATGGCGATCCTTTGGTTGTTAGCCTGACAGTTGCAGATTGCCTGGTGCGAAGGGTGCTAATTGATCCAGGGAGCAGTGCAAATGTTATGCCAAGGGTCACTTTCGATTGGCTTGAGATCAAGCTAGAGATGCTAAAATGTACTGGAAATCTGTTGTTGGGATTCGACGGAAAAAGAGTAGAACCAATTGGCATAGTAGAATTGCTTGTCCGAGCTACCGAGAAGGAACTTGCCGAAAGTTTTATGGTAGTGAAGATCCATCCCTCTTATAATTTGTTAATGGGAAGAGGGTAGATTCATAGGGTCCAGGGAGTCCCACCGACCCTACACTAGATAATGTAATGTCTGAGCCTGGATGGAAGCAAAGTGATTAACATCCATGGGGATCAAGTTACTGCCAAAGAATTTACTCAGTAACTCTAAAAGCTGCGGGTAAAGGGAAAGCCCCCGTTCGCTCTGCCAGCCTGAGATAGCAATTAAAGGAACTTCCTGTTAGCATGAATGGGGACGGGGAACCTTCAGCCTTGACCGAAGAACCTTTAGCTGATGTACAAATTGATAACTCAAGGTCGGACCAAACCACGAGAGTGTGCTAAGGGCTTACAGAACAAGAAAAGTGCAAATTAGTTAATTTTCTCTCTTAGAACGCGGATGTGTTTGCTTTGAGCCATTCGGACATGCCGGGGATCAACCCCTCTGTCTCTTATCACTTACTTAACGTAGATCTGAACGCCAAGCCTGTGAGATAGAAGCAGAGAAGGTCCGCTCCAGAATGTATTCAAATAATAGCTGAAGAAATTGATCAATTGCTGAAAGCTGGGTTTATTAGAGAGGTTCAATATCCATCCTGGTTATCGAACGTGGTAGTAGTACAAAATAAGAATGAAAAGTGGAGGGTCTGCATTGATTTCACCAATATGAATAAAGCCTGCCCAAAGGATAACCTCCCTTTGCCAAAGATTGACCAAATAGTGGACGCCACTACTGGATACAAACGGTTAACATTTCTAGATGTTTACTCTGGCTACAATCAAATCCCAATGAACCCAATTGATGAAGAAAAAACTTCTTTTGTCACTGAACGAGGAACCTTCTGCTCTAAAGTCATGCCATTCGGACTGAAGAACGCTGGAGCTACTTATCAGAGACTAATCAGCAAGATTTTCAAAAATCAAATGGGAAGACTGTAGAGGCTTATATTGATGACATGGTAATAAAAAGTAAGAAGAAGGAAGATCACCTATAGCACTTGCAAGATGTGTTCAGCGTGCTGAAGAGGTATGGAATGAAGCTTAATCCAATCAAATGCTCATTCGGCGTGAGCTCTGGCCAATTCCTGGGACACGTGGTTAATTATAGAGGAATTGAAGCCAGCCCAGCCCAAGCAGAAGCCCGGATCAAGAATACAGAGCCAAAAACAGTCAAAGAGGTGCAAGCTCTCACAGGCCGAATAGCCGCACTGAGTCGTTTCATTTCTAAGTTGTTAGATCGCTGTAAGCCATTTTTTGATACAATACAAGGCCATGGAAGGTAGACCTGGGGGGATGAGCAAAGATAGGCTCTGACTAGCTTAAAAGAATATATGCAAAACCCTCCAGTATTATCCACTCCAGAAGGAAAGTAGTTCCCAGTTTTCTATGTTAGCAAAACATTGACAAAAATGGAAAGAAGGTATTCAAAGGCCGAACGGGTAATCTTGTCCTTGGTAAATGCAAAAAGGAAGCTCAGGCATTACTTTGAATCACATCCGATAGTCGTTTTGACCACATTCCCGATAAGGGTGATCCTGCATAAGCCAGACTTGTTTGGAAGATTGACGAAGTGGGCAATTGAGCTAAGTTCTTCTGACATAATGTATGAACCCCGAACGGCCATCAAATGGCAATCGGTGGCTGATTTCCTACTATAGTGTAATGTGGCAGAGCCATAAGAAAATCCTGAAGACTCCTCGTGGAAGCTTTTCGTTAATGGCTCTTTGAATTAGATGGGGGCGGGAATTGGGGTCAAGTTACAGACACCAGAAGGCACCATGTTGAGCCAAGTGATCAAACTCGAATTCAGGGCGACTAATAATGAAGCAGAGTATGAAGCACTATTGGCTGGTGATAAGCGCTGAATACTGTATATTCAGGCGCCCTAAATTACATTAACAAAGTCCATTAATTGATTATTTTATGTAGATTAACTCCATTTACATGTTTTTGTGCATTTTCAGGTTAAAGTGCAAAAAGGAAGCAAAAATGATGCCTTGTGGAATTATGAACAAAAAGGGTGCCAATTCTGAATTTCTGGCAGCGGTAGAACCTGACTTTTGTCGCCATTTTCGACCTAGCAAAATCAAGAACTGGACTTCCATCATAACATGAAAGATTTAGAGCTCTGAATCATATTTCCAAATCTTCAAGCGGTTTATCATTCGGAGTTCGGAACAGAGAGTTATGATCTTCTTAACAGAGGTGCGCAGAACTGCCTGGCAGCACTGAAGTACTAACTTTCTCCCCATTTTCGACCAACCAGACTTGAGAATTGGGTCTTCATCAAAACATGAAGTTTTTGAAGCACTGAATCAGCTCTCCAACTCTTCAAACAGATCATCATTCGGAGTTCAGGGCACAAAGTTATAGCAGTTTTACCAAAGTAGATCAGTGCTGAGCAAGAAGAGCATGTTGCACATTGCACTAATTTAGAGTGCTCGAGACCACTCTTCGAGTGCTCGAAAATCAGCCAGATTGAAGCTCGGAAATGAACTCCTCTTCAGCCCACTTGTGCATTGGTTTCCACATTTCCATCCTCCTTCTTTATGGAGTGGTTGGGAATGTCTTTGGAGGAGAGAGAGAGCATAGTTGATAGATATAAGGCAACTAAGGGCCACATGCATCCTATCCTTCATTCTACAAGATTAGAGGAGAGGGAAGAGAGCAAGGAAGAGGGTGTTCTTGAGTGCTACAGTAGGAGCTCGAAAATGGAGATGGATCCTTCTTCTTCTTCTTCCATTTTTGTATCCATGGATAACTAAACCTCCATCTAGGGAGGTGATGAAGCTCTCTCTTGTAAGCATGCTTTAATTTCATCTAATTTGGGGAATGATTCATGTATATGGTAGTTTCATGATTTAGAGCACTAACACTTGTTGTAATGGATTTCAATGCCTATAAATGATCATGTTGAGTTCATTATCTTGTCTTAGATTTTATCCTCTCATGATTATATAACTTGTATCTTCATAGTGAGAATGGAAATGAGAAATTTGTTAATCCATAGCTTAAGACTTCCTTTTGATGGATTAATCTTGTATCTTGACTTCATATGCTATTACCATAGTGATTGAGGGGTTTGATGGTCCCTAGCTTAGTGAGCATGTTATGGCTACACCCTAATCTAGGTAGTTCTAGCATGTGGCTCTTTGAGGGATTATACTTAAATCTTGATCCTATGATTTTCTTGAGGATAATGTAGCAATCTAGTATTGCTACATATCATTGCCATGTAGTGAAATTGTTTCCCAAGTTAATAGAAATTTAGTATGTTTATAGGATTGGTGGTGAATTCACTTCCCTAGACCTCCTTTTCTAGACTTCTTCCTCTTAAATTCCTTGCATTTATTTCTTTAAGCACATTTCAATTCTAGTGACTAAGTGACAAACCAACAAAACTCTATATACCCCCTCATCATTCTAAAAGTAATCTAGACTCTTAGGTTGCCATAGACTAGCGCAGTCCCAGTGGTTCGACTTACCCGACCAATAGCCCTATTTTACAATGATTCATGCTATTGCAAAGGTTGATGTTAATTGACCAACCGATCATCTGGGTTGAAGTTGGCCAAGAAGCTAAAGATCAAGAACTTAGTTGCTTTTAGTGATTTGCAGCTGGTCATTCGGCAAGTGACTGGGGAGTACGGAACCAAAGATGAGACAATGGAGGCATAACGTTCTACCGTTTTACGAGAGGCCAATTGGTTGGCATGTAGTGTATCTAGTACGGGAGAAACCCTGGCCAGGGTGATTCCAGTTGGTGTATTGATCCAACCATCTATCTTTGAAGAACCTTCAACCTCGGATCCTTGGTAAGTGAATATTATACCATATAAACCAAGCTTGATAGATCCAATCATGACTTATATTCGAGATGGTGTTTTACCCGAGCAGAGGGATGAAGCAAGGAAGATTAGATCGAATGCTATAAAGTATGCCATAGTGCACAACCAGTTGTACAGGAGGTCTTACTTAAGGCCTTACTTGAAATGTGTTACCCCCACGGAAGCTCGACAGATACTGCGAACTATCCACGAAGAGGTCTGTGGTAATCATTCAGGGGGGAGATTTCTAGCACACAAAGCAATGACCCAGGGGTATTTCTGGCCTAACATGTCATGAGATGCAGAAGAATTCTCAAGAAGATGCGATAAGTGTCAAAGGTTTGGACTGCCGATCCACCAACCACCAAAAGATTTGCACGTAATGGCTAAACCATGGCCTTTCGCGCAATGGGGGATGCATGTGGTTAGCCCGCTACCGACCACTAGGTCGCAGAATAAGTACGTTATGCTTGCAATAGACTACTTTACGAAATGAGTGGAGGCAGAACCATATCCCAGCGTCTCAGACTCAGGTGAGGCACTTCATTTGGAGTAACATCATCTGTAGGTTTGGTGTGCCGAGGTCGATTGTTATGGACAATTGGACTAATCTTGATAGCAAGCAAGTGAGGGAATTGTTGGAAGAATATGGAATTAACCAAAAGTTGGCAGCGGTCAACCATCCACAGGCGAATGGTCAAGCTGAGATTACAAACGGAACGATCTTTGCTTATATAAAGAAGAAGCTTTAAGAGGAGAAAGGGAAGTGGTTGGATGAACTCCCGAATGTCCTGTGGGCATACAGAATAACCCTTAGACGATCGACCGGAGAACGCCCATTCGCTATAGCATATAGTACTGAGGTAGTAATACCTGTCGAGCATCTGTCCCAACTGTTCGGACCTTGGGGTGGAATCAAGAGTAGAACGATGACATGTTGAGATTCAACCTTGACTTGCTAGAAGAGAAAAGGGATGCAACGGCGGTAAGGCTGGCATTGTATCAGCAGGTACTTATGAATAGTCACAACAGAAAAGTGAAACATAGGGAATTTGCACCTGGTGACTTAGTTCTGAAAAGGAAAGTTGGAATTATCAAGAAAATGGAGTCAGCTTGGGAAGGACCATATAGAGTTGTAGAAGCTATAGGAAAGGGGACATATGTCCTAGAGACAATGGCTGGAAGGTTAGTCAACAAACCGTGGAATGCCACATCTTTGAAGAGGTACTACCAATAAAAGCTGAATTCCATTCTGAACGATGTTTTTTCCAAGTTACATGCCTACAAATGTACAAAATTCTCAGAATCTATGAAAGAAGTTTATTTCGCTTAAAAATTAATTAGCACTTTTGTAGCGCCAAGTGGCAAGTGGCGTTCTAGCTGAGCGCCAAGCACTTAGCAAAGTAAGTGGCAAGTGGCATTACTAGCCGAACACCAAACACTTGCACAAAAAAAAAAATAATAATAAAAAAATAAAAAAAAATAAAAAAAATTTGTGTAAAGTGGCAAGTGTCATTCTAGCCGAGCGCCAAGCACTTAGCAAAGTAAGTGGCAAGTGGCAAGTGGCACTACTAGCCGAACGCCAAACACTTGCACAAAAAAAAGTGTGAAGTGACAAGTGGCATTCTAACCAAGCGCCAAGCAGTTAGCAAAGTAAGTGGCACTACTAGCCGAACGCCAAACACTTGCACAAAAAAAAAAAAAGGTGTAAAGTAGCAAGTGGCATTATAGCCGAGCGCTAAGCACTTAGCAAAGTAAGTGGCAAGTGGCAGTACTAACCGAACGCCAAACACTTGCATAAAAATGTGTAAAGTGGCAAGTGGCATTCTAGCCGAGCGCCAAGCACTTGCATAAAAATGTGTAAAGTGGCAAGTGGCATTCTAGCCGAGCGCCAAGTACTTAGCAAAGTAAGTAGCAAGTGGCACTACTAGCCGATTAACCAAACGCCAAATACTTGCACAAAAAAAAAAAAAAAAAAAAAGGTAATAAATAGAAGCCAAGTGGCTAGTGACACTCTAACCGAGCGCCAAACACTTGTGATAAATGACATTCAAAAGTGACAATGAAATAGTAAAAGCACTATAAGACAAGAATTAGTCAAAAGTCTTTCATTCCATTAAATTCATGTTCGTCAAACATTTACAATGATGGTTTTGATGGAATGAGTACAGAATACAAAAGATAATGAAACATCTACAGGTAATTATTCAGTCCTGTCTATGCCCTCGATCTCCTGCCCGTGCTCGGAGTTCCCCTTACCTTCGTTGACTGTACTTTCCACTCGGGGGGAAGAGTCAACAGTGCTGAAACAAAGCTGAAGATGTTGGGGTAAGAAGGCTATTTCGGTCGACCGAAACTCATATAGACTTTGCTGATATCTTGTTTTTGAAGGTTGCATGATTCGGTAGGCTGAAATAGGCCATCAATCGACCGAACTGGAGTTTCGGTCGACCGAACTGGAGTTTCGGTCGACCGAAACTCCTCGAAAAGCTGCTAAATGACCTGCTATGAACAAAATTTGTTGAGGCTTCACCCAAGCCTCAAACCTCAACATGAATGTGGATCAAAAACATAATTTTAAGCTATACAAGCATGCTCGCAAGTGTACTTTATATATTAAATCATGTTACAATGGTCCATGACCTTATTACACAACATTTACAAAATTTGACATGCCAAACCTCCAAAGTTGGTAAAAATACATATTCAAATAGAATGTGGCACCTAATGAGTACAAGTGCAAAATTAAACATGCTTGGCCCTTGACCTCTTGTCATACATATCAAATACATAGTAAAGAGTGTGCTTATGTACACTTTACATGTTTGGAATCAAATATACACATTTTGACATATAAGGCTAAAATTGGCATTTCAAGCCAACCTACACAAGAATTAAACCCTTCAAGTCCTCAAACCATCCAAGCACAATGTGAATCCCAACCTTGATCCCTGTACCTAAAATATGCCCCAGTAACTTTGAGGTGAGTAACATAAAGCTACTTGTAGGAAATGAGCATGCATCGACCTAACATTTTACAATTTTATCACCTTAAGGTGAAACGTGTTAAAGGGCTCATGCCAACTAACGTCTATGTCAAGGGTGAGACTCAAGGAGCATCCTAAGCTATCACAGATTATTTCTAGCATAAATCACATCATTCATGCAATTCAAACCATGTAGAAGCACGCTTTACAAAGCAACATGATATAGATTCTCAAAGTTGTCAACTTGAAATCTAAAATGCGAAAACAACCAAAATGGGTCATGCCAGCTAGCGTCTATATTACAAATGAATCTATAGGATCATCTCTAAGTCGCATTTTGAGCAATATAGCATAGATGTACTTAACAACATCAAAATTTACAATGATTCATTAAAAATCATAAAACATAGATGTACTTACCAACATCAAAACCTGCAATGATTCATTAAAATCATAAAACATAGATGTACTTACCAATATCAAAATTTACAATGATTCATTAAAAATCATAAAACATAGATGTACTTACCAACATCAAAATCGCCAATAGCCAAAACCACAAGTCACAATTAAACATGATTGTCAACTTGGAATTGAATGCGAAATCAAATAGTGGAATACTTGGACATCTAAGCTCGGAATTTTTGCCGAGACCTCAACGGTTATTCCGGGCATTAACCCGTAGGGAAGACCACCCTAAGTGCGCACTATCTCAATTGGGGAGAACTTATACCTCCCGCACTAGAGCCAAACTCTAGCCATATCACAGTAAAAATGTCCCAAGTGACTCCAAAATAAATAAGTTAACAACTTATACATAATTTATATAATGCACGAAATCACCTTCCATGCACAAGTAGGTTAAAACCACACAATCCATGCCTTAGAGTTTAAATTCTAAAATGGCATACATAATGTCAATTTCAAAATGTGCAATTCATTACACAAGGCAACAATATATTCCATAAAGAAAATATGTTCTCATGAATATAAATATAACAACAATGTTATCCAATGCTCGAAACACAACCAAGTAAATACATAATAAGTCTAAGTCCATGATTTGGATATAGAAACAACTTCTAAAACACAAATAGATCCATGAAGCCATTAGATAGAACAAAATAATTAAATTCTCTAGATTTCAAATCAAATTCAAATAACATCTAATTAATATATGTTAAACAACATAGCAAGCTCATTACATATATCAAATCAAAAACTTAATTAGGCCATGGAACAATAAGGTAGAATTTAATTAAGTCATGATAATTAAATCTCTAATTTCTAAAACAGCACCAAATGGTCCCAAATTAATATATGCTAGTGTACAAGTCATACTCATCACAAATATCAAGTCAAAAACTTAATTAAGCCAACGGAACCTTTAAATAGATTTTAATTAATCAATTTAATTAAAATCTCTAGATTTTCATACTTATCCAAATGCTCTCAAATTAAAGTATGTTAAAGAACATACCAAAACTTAATTTAAAAATATATCACAAGTTATTTCCATGCAAGGTATGGGCATGAGAATTAAACTTTCACCAAAGAAAATTATTAAATAAAAGTTGCAATATTTTATCAAATACTCCAATTTTAATATATGTTAACCAACATACCAAAGCCTAATTTACTACCATGCCACAATTTAATTCTAAGTTGAATATCATCATGTGAATTAAATCTTGAACATAGAAATTAATTAAATTAAATTCTATATTATAAACAAAAGTATGCATACAAGTTGTATAATCATGGAAAACACTCAATACAATACATATATAATCCTAAAACATCCCCTACCTCCATTTGAGATGAAATTTCAAATCCCCACCGTAATGAAAGTGCTCCGAATCCGACGAAATTTCGGGGTTTTGTCGGGGACAACACGGTGAACAAGAATCCCAAGGAAGCCCCATCAAAATCACAACTTGACTTTAAACCCAAACTCAAGAAATGGACACAAATGGCTTCTAATAAGGGGGAAAAGTAGAGCACGACAAGGCGAACAACAAACATTAAGGCCGAAAACTTTTCATCAAGGAAAAATGGTTCAAAGGAGGAGATAGAAGGTGGCAGCCCCATGGTCTTCCATGGCTGCTGGCCAAAAGAGGAAGAAGAAGAGAAAAAAATTTGATTTTTCTTCTTTAAGGCCCCTATTTATAGAAAAACCCTAAAAGTGTCCCGAACGAGCCCCGCCGGGTCCGAAAAAGTGAAATTTGAGCAGACGTACTCAAACGGCAAAACTCCGTGAACAAAAAAGAACTGAAATGATAAAATATGAACAACGAAAGAAATAACGTCAAAAACTGAGCCCCGAGCAGAGAGACATGCCCCGAACAAGTTCGGCAACAACCGGGTCAAAAAGCCCTGAAACTAGAGAAAATTGACTAGAAGGAAATTCTAAAAGTACACGACTCGAAGAAATGTGAAAATGAATCCCGTACGAGGATTCAGGCTCAAAACGAGGCATTTTGCAATAACTTTATTTAATTACATAATGGCCCCTCCAAAAAGTGAAAACTGCGAAACTGCCCCAGAATGAAAATATCTTCCAAAAGATATTTTCTTAGATACCCCTGAAATAAAATATCTTTAAAGGATAGTTATGAAAAACACCCCAAGAAAAGAAAAAGATCTGAAGAATTGTGCATCCATGCCTCTATAGACATCAGGAGCAACAAGAGTACTTTTATGTAAAAGTAAAGATACGTATTTCGTGGAAACTGCTTAGAATGAAGATACGTGAAGTAAAAAACCAATTCCGAACAAAAGAAGTGTGGTTATGCGAACAAAGTGACAAACGGGGAAAAGGACGAAAGTGAATAGTGTCCGAAAAATGAAAATGTGGAAATGACTCGGTCCTCAAAGGAAGTTGTCAATCCAAAGAAAAGAGTCTCAGAAACTATTTCCGAGCACTCAAGATGACACTAAGTGACGAGAAACTGAGCTCGGAAAGGAAAAAAAATAACGGAAAAAAAATATCCGTGAAAATCTGAGGAAAAAGGAAAGGAAGGAAAATGACCGGGTCATTACAACCTACCCTCCTTAAAGGAATTTCGTCCCTGAAATTTAGAACAGACAAAAGAGAATCGAACAAGGTCAACGCAAGATCAAACCATAGGACACGGCATAAGGTGAGAAAAGACAACTTTAAAAGCCTGAAGATTATCCGAAGGAACGCAAAACCCAAGAACTGAATTACACCTCCCAAATTAATCGGCACATTAACCCAAAGTCAATCACCGAGAGAATCCCAAGACAACGACAAGTTAAAGTTGTCAAATTTGCACACTCTGAAATGGAAAGTTGTTGAAACGATGTGTGGTTGCCAATATTCTGTGAAGTTACCAAATTTTTACAACTTGAAACGGATAGAGATTGTAGGGAGGTAACATGTAGCATTCCCTCAGGCAGTGACGTCAGGCTAGGGCAAAGAGAAATGGAAAGTTCTCGAAGAGATATGAGGTTGCCGATCTTCCCTAAAGTTGTCAAATTTTCACACTTTGAAATGGAAAGCTGTTGAAGCGATGTGAGGTTGCCGATCTGCCGTAAATTTAGCAAATTTTCACACCTTGAAATGGAAAGTTGTTGAAGCCATGTGAGGTTGCCGGTATTCTGTAAAGTTACCAATTTTTCACAACTTGAAATGGATAGAGATTGTAGAGAGGTGACATGTCGAAGCCCTGCAGGAAGAAACCCCAACTTCGGAATTTGAGACATTTCCAGAGAAGTTAGGTTCTTAAAGCCTAGAAATGGTATGTCATCGTCATCGTCATCATCATCGTCATCGTCATCATTAAAAAAGGTAACCTCTTTGCAGTTGTGGATCCGCAGAGATTTGAGGGCAGTGAGATGTTGCATCCCTCTTGGCAGAGAGGTTAGTCTTGGACAATTGCAAATCCCTAGTTTCCGGAGAGAAATGAGACTTCCGAATGCTTTATCTGGCAAAGAAACTAGATCCTCAATGTCATTAATATATAGAACAGCTAATTTGGAAAGAGGAGCAAATGAAGAAGATGAAGGGGCTACCACCATCATCATCAATAACTGTTGTTTTACTAGCTCCGTGCAGACCCCATCCAATTTTAGTTCTACAGAGCTTGGTTGCAGAGGCATTGATGCCAGCTTAGGACAATTTCTGATATATGATCGAGAAAGACGAGGAAATGATGGTAGCAGCAATAGTTGGTGTTGCTGTTGGTCTGCTGTCATTTCCATTATTGTTGGTTCCTCTTTATTCCACCATCCCTGCAAATTAGGCAACTCAATGAGACTCAGATATTCCAATGATGGGAAAAATGGCAAAGAAGAGGACGCATCATCACCGCCACTATTAATGCTGTTTTCATCTATGTAGCTTAGAGAATTTAGATTACTAAGCTCAAGAGATCGGAGAGAAGAAAGTTGCCGGAACTGAGGAAGATGTTTCCATCCATCACAACTCAGTAATGTAATAATGACTAGATTTGGAAGCAACGAAATGAATGTTAACCGTCATCCAAGTTGGGAAACTCACACCCCCATACCATCTTATATCCAGACTTGTCAGATTTGGGTGTGGTTGAAGGCCTTCCAACACTAACACATCATCATTATCATAGTGGCGGAAATTTAGTTCCAATGACACAAGATGTTCTTTCTCCTTCAAGATTGCTTCTCCGACTTCTGACTTTCCCGATCTTAGTTCAATCTTTAACTTGCCCAGTAGATTATTTAGGCCTTTCAATTCACTTAACCTACTACCTGGACCTGTGATGAATAACGGTAGTGTACGAAGAGAAGTCAATTGCCCCAATCCATATGGCATATCAGTCAAACCGATACAGAAGTCAAGCTCAAGATGCCTAAGATTGACCAATTTTCCAAAACCTTCTGGCAATTCTTCGAGATCCTGACAATCAGAGAGTTTCAAGGTCTGCAAATTTTTCAACTTGGTAATGGAACTTGGCAATTTCTTGATATCGTTTTCAGAAAGATCAAGATACCTTAAATACTTCATCTTACTTATGCAACTCGGCACCATCTTCATCCCCAAGTTATGCATATCCAACACCCGCAACCTTTTAAAATTGGAAATAAAGTTTTCATTAAATGGATATGATAAAAGAGATGTTCCTATATTGTCAGCTCTATGCACCCTTGTTGGATCTTCTGATGATGAATCTGTAGAAGAATTAAATGACACATGACCTTCTGATGATGAATCTATAGAAGAATTAAATGACACATGACGGATTCTTCGCATTCTTCGTTTGGCGTCTTTCCCAGACAAATGAGTCATGGAGGAGTTAGTTGGCGCTGCACTTTCTGCCAAGTCGTGCATAAGATCGTGTATTTTAAAGCTAATTACATTACCAGACTTTTCAACAGTTTCAACAACATTAAAAAAGGCCCTCCTTGATAGTTCCATAAAATATGAATCTCCAACATCCTCCAAACACTGGGTTTCTTTCGATAATTGAATAAATTCATGTGCAATCCACAACTGGATCAATTGTTGCTTAGCAATTACATGATCTCAAGGATATATGGAGCACAATGCAAAACATTGCTTTAAATGTGTGGGTAGGTAATCATAGCTCAACTTCAACAATGACTTCAACAATGACAGAAACTCCTGTTGCGGTAGTTTTGCCATACCTTTTTCTAAATTCAACAACTCATTCTCTGTATCTATATAGTAAAATAGGCTTCCAAAAACCTTTATCCATAGAGGAACTCCTTTACAATTTGTCACAATTTTCTTTCCAATTTCAACTAGAGTTAGATTCTCTGTCTCTTCCCCTTCTTTGAATGCCATTTGCTTAAATAGAGCCCAGGACTCTTCCATCGTCAAGGGACCTAAATGACGGTCTGCACGTGACCCTACAACAATTGCAACTTCACCATTGCGTGTAGTTACCAAAATCTTACTTCCCTTTGCACCACCCATCAACAAATCCAACAATTTTAACCACTTTTCATGGTTTTCATTCCACACATCATCCAACACAAGTAAATATTTTTTTCCATCAAATTCTCTCCGAACGAGAAATTGCAGTGCTTCGAATTGAAGGCGCATAGGTTTCGAACCTGTTGCACTTTCTATGATCTGTTCTGCTATTTGTTTGATGTCAAAGTGATCAGAAACAGTCACCCATATCTTATGTATAAAATGTTTACTGACCAGCTCGTCATTGTATACTGATTTTGCAAGTTCAGTCTTTCCTATTCCCCCCATTCCTATTATTGCAACAACTGACACATTCTCTTGAACATTAGAAGAGTCCATCAATGATTCTATAATTTACTTTTTTACGTCATCCCTCCCAATAAGTTGTTCAGCACCCACAGAAGAGTGCCGAGTCTCCTCCCTATTCGTAATTTCATCTCCCATAGCCATATCTATAGGCCTTCCAGTACGAAAGTGAAAGTTAACCCCATTTGCTTTAATGGCTTTTAGTTTCTCAGAAATGGCCTTAACTTTACGACTCATCTTACGATTAAAAACGAGCTGGTTTGAGATTGAAAAGAAAATGCGTACCTTCTTGGCCCTTTTCTTCTGAGTCATCACCTTCCGCCGCAAATCTTCCGTAAAGAAGTCATCCAACAAGTTCTCCGCATCCCAAACAACGTCTTCCATCTTTTCGAGCCAATCACCAGCCACATGATCATCCCGGACTTGCTACCTCGCTCCAAAAAGCACACTTCTGATTATGGAAATTGTGTACTTCAATTTGTGAGACTCACTTTCTAGCCCTTGGGGAGCTGCAGGGCCCAACTTCTTCACAATTTTATTCACAATCTTAGCAGAACTGGATTTGCCATTACTGGAATGCTAGGAGTAGCAAGAACTGGATTTGCCATTACCGGATTGGTAGGAGAGGAAGAGGCAAGAACTGGAGTTGCCATTAGTAGTGGAATGGTAGAAGAGAAATGTAGGAGTGCTAAAAGGTTTGTTAGTGCAAGACTAAGGCAAATGGCCGGCCAATATGTGTATTGTACTAGTTCTGAAGAAAATTGGTTTCACTTGCTACAAATTTAAAATGGTCAAATTACACTCACATCACCTAATATTTGTTTTAATTACTCATTGTGATAAAAAATAGTTTTAATTACACTGGCCAACCCTGATCATTAAACAAATGTTGCTTTTTTTTATTTTTGGTTTATGAATTGTCATTTTTGCCATTGGTTTATTTTATATTATTTTAAAGAACAATAAACCACTAAATAAAAAAAGACTTAGGCTATGTTTGGTAGGGTGGGTTTAAAGGGGAATGATAACATTAGTTATGAAGGAAATGGAATGGTAGGATAATTTTAATTTGGTATTGTGTTTGGTTGATTAACGAAGGAAAAGAAGGAAATGGAATGGTAGGATAATTTTAATTTGGTATTGTGTTTGGTTGATTAATGAAGGAAAAGAAAGACAAGAACAGAAAGAAAAGAAAAATATTTTCGTAAATTTACTATTATACCCTTTTATATTATAAAAAATAAAATTATGGGCCTCAAAATTTATAGGCATGATGGGCCACCAGAAAAACAAATATATTTTTAGGACAAATAATTTTAATATTTTTCTCTCTTCCTCCACCAGCACCCTTACATTTCCAATTTGGTATTCAGAGTTGTTGCCATAGAAGGTTATATACTTTTCGAATTTGATCGATTTTAATGTTTTTTGGAACCAAACTAGTCCAACCACCATGTTCTTTTCTCTACCCCTCTTCAAATTTGTAAACTGAAGGTTTTTGTTATCCCCAAAAAAAATTAGAAGGTATATTTTTTTAACTCTTTGAGACTATAAGGGAGTTTAGTGTAATTGGACACACATATATATAATTCAATACATAATTTAGCTAACATGTTTCAAGATTTATAGGGTTAGCTATTTAATCAAATCACTACCGGTGAACTTTCCATGAATCTTCGCGCGAATGAAGGAGATTGTTCTTTCATTCATATATAAATCTTGATTGACCATAATATAATTTTTTTATTTTATTTTTAGATTTAACCAATGGAGGGGATTGTTCTTTCATTCATATATAAATATTGATTGACCATAATTGTATTTTTTTAAAAAAAAATTTAAAAAGCTACTGTATTAAAATCTTTTTTTATTATGAGGAAGGGCAAATCCATCATAATATCATTAAATTTTTGCAGTACCGACCGACGATAACAGAAGAGGAGTCATTAAGCACAAATTTAAGGAGTAATGAGTGTAATTAAAATTATTTTTAATCACTGTTGTAATTAGGATAAGTTTCAAAGAATGCAAATGTAATTCATGTTAAGGACATTTGAAAAGAATAGAATCCAAGGCCTTTGCGATGTCCTGTCATGAGCTGCCAAGATTGAAGAAATTTTACTTTTCAGTCTCACCAATGTGGAAAATGTTCAGAATGATTAGCTAACAATCGACACCACCGAGGGGAAAAAAATGAATGTGAACAAAGGGCTATTATTCCGTAAAAATAAATGATTCGCCTTTTGAAAAAGTGAAGGAATGGGAAAGAAAATGATTTGCTAACAACCGACACCAGCGAGGGAAAAAAATGAATGTGAACAAAGGGCTAATATTCCATAAAAATAAATGATTCGCCTTTTGAAAGTGAAGGAAAGGGAAATAAATTTGTGGCGGGGATGGTGAGGTTGGAGTTTTTAAAGGAGTAAAGCATGTGTGTGAGTAGTATGTGTGAGTTTTTTGTCAAAGAAAAAAAGAAAAAAAAAAAGAAAAAAAGAATTGTGAGAATTCGAGTCTCTAATTGAATAAAGTAGATGTGTGAGTTTCTTGCCAATGATAAAAAATAAATAAATAAATAAAATAAAATTTATTTGAATGAACAAATACATTAGATGCTTTGAATTGTAATCCATTCGAAATGCTTTTGGCTAGCGATGGTAATGGAGTGGTTTGGGGCGACAATTTCATTATGACACGAAAAAAAATGAGGGTTAGGGTTTCTTCCTGTATATATATATATACTTAACCTATTTTAATAATGTATCATAATATATAAGGGTATTTTAATAAGTTTATAGTATATTCGGAGTAGGGTGGGCGGAGCAACCCTCGCCCAAAACTGCCCCAAAACCCAACGGTTTTTCAAAACAGCCCACATTCCTGTCCTCATTTACATAATTGATTCTCCAAAACCGCCTCCCCGTTTGTCAGAGTGAGAATTTTTACCATCCCTACTTTTAACTTTTAATTAAGAGTTCTATTTGAAAACAAAACTCTTAAATTACTATGTAGGTGCAAAATTCTGCTCAACCAATAACAATTGAGAAAAATAATACAACACACTCAAGAACAGTAAAAATAAATAAGAACAGTATATAGAGAAGCGTAGAATTGCTTGGATCCTTTTATTGGAGGTCTGGGCCTCTATTTATATACAAAAGTTAGAAGAATTATGATAGGACTCGCGTTGCTTGTCCTCTAATTTTTTCCATATATCAATTTCTTTACAAATAGAATTATTTCCTCTTTATAATTCTTCCCTTACCGGATTTTCCTTACACAAAACTTACTTCCTTTGATGAATCATTTTCCTTGTAGGACCGGCTCCTTCTTTAAATGGATTTGGGCCGCATCTAACTTGGTACACATGACTCCTGGTGTCTTGATTCGAGCTTTAATAAAGCTGGTAGTTAGATAACAGTAGTTTTGGGCTAATGACCAACTCAACTTGGGCCTCTGACGAGATGGGCTTTGACCTTTATCGAAGATAAAGTTATATTTATGATGACGTGGATTGCTCTTATTGGAGGGAAATTTTTTCCTCCACACTTTGCCCCCAATTCCCTCTTTAATTGGATTGCGGCTCCTATTAAAAAGGGAATTGAAGTTGCACGGTTGTCTTTTTTACCAAAAGACGCTTCGAAGATTGCCCATTGCCATTCTGCCTTAAGAGATTCTATAAGGGTTACTTTTGCTCTCACTACGTTTCTTGCATTCTTCACTCCGTCGTCTTATCAGGTTAGTTCTTCATCTTTTTCTCTTCGATCTTGCATTATGAGTACTTCGACTACTCCTGAACGTATAGATATTGTAGATTCTGAGTCCACTCCCTCGTCTTCCCCTAATCTCATTAGGGTTCCCCCACCTAGGGTTTCGAACTTTCCTAAACCTGTAAGTGACTCGGCTAATCAGCCAGGTGCTTCCCCGATCCAGGCTGAAACATCCACCTCTGGGTCGGACAATATCCTCACTAAGGAAGAAAGGAATGCAATTCTATCTATTCGACGCATCCCGTTCTCCATTGAATCCGTAATGGAAGAATTCGAGATTCCCGAGGGGATAAATATTGCAGAGTACCCCAAAGGCGCTGATTTTTGCGCCGGCGAGGGCGTCGGAGAAGACGAGTTGCTCCTCTCTGTTGGGCATCTCAACGCTCTTAGGTTCCCCCTTTATCCCTTCTATCATTTAGTCTTCAACAAATTGGGGATTACACCCCTGCAAGAACCCTAACTTCCTTCGAATAATCTCAGCACTCCTCATTCGCCGGTGGCAGGAGAGTCTCGACCTGACTCTGGCTGACTTGCTGATTACTTATTCTATTTCTAAGCATGGAACCGAACCTTGTCGTTTCTTTTTCACTTCCCCCTTGCACCAAAGGATATGTACACACCTTCCTACTTCTGAGAAGAAGTGGAAAGAGAGGATGATAATTGTTAAAGGGAGATGGGCCGTGCCCCAATCGAGCAAACTCCCAATCCCTCGCAAGTTTGGGAAGTTAGGTATAGAACATCCCCCTTTTCTTCATGAAGAGTGCTCGGGCTGTTTCCCATGTCGGGTCTTATTATTTTGATATATTTACGAGTTTCTTGGTGTTTTTTCAGCAACATTTCCTTCTTCGGCTGCCAAGAAGAGGCTTTCCTTCTTGGAAAAGCAGGTCTGGAGCAACCCTCCCTCGATCGAGAGCTTACTCACTTCTGCGAGTCTTAAAGCAGTTGCTTCCAGAGCTGTAGCCGCTGATCTCATGGACCTCTCATTTCCATCATTTGACAGCTTCCCCATGACTGAGGAAGAAAAACAGAGGGCTGAAGCCTTGAAGAGGAAAGCTGCAGAGAATGCTCCGTTGACTATATTGCGTATAAATGAGCAGGAAAAGGAGATTGACGAAGTCCCTTTGAACAAAAGGGCAAAGCTGAACTCCTTCAACTACAAAATCCAAGGGTGCTTCCAACCCAAAAAGCAAAGGGAAAAAAACCGAAGAGGTTAACCCTGAGGATGAGGTCAGCGCTTACGTCCTTGCCGAGGCTGGAGCACCTTGG